TACATTATTTGTTCTTATGGTTTTAACAAGGGTATTGTGTTGACTATGCATTAATTGAACAAAATTCATGATGTGTTGTCTAGTTTCATATTTTGATTTCATAAGAGTAAGCCATATGTATATACTACAATTATCAACACCAATAAGAAAGTAAGAATAACTATTAATATATTTTATAACAATATGACCTCATATGTCAAAATGATTGAGGTCAAAACATTTGACAACTTTAGTAAAACTTCTTTGATAAGGTATATCCCTATGTTTTTCCAAATGACATACATCACAAATTCCCTTTTGTTCTACAACAATAAATAGAAAATTAGAAAATAACGAGACCATTTAAGAACTAAAAAGGTGACCTAACCTAAAATTTCATAGAGCATTTTTTAGTATGGTGATCATAGTGGAGGTAGAGATGTTTATAATAACATTAAAGGTCTTATTTGGCATATTTAAGTGGTAAAGCCCTTCAATGAAGTTAGCAGAACCAATAATCTTCAACGATTGAAGATCCCTGAAGGAATTGTTAGAGCTTGTAAAATTAACAAGGCAATGCAAATTATGGAATAGCTTGGATACTGAAATCAAATCTAAAGAAAAATGAGGGACAAAAAGAACATTTGTGATGGAAAATTGAGGTGTGAAAAAAATTGTACCAATTTGTTTAGCTATGGAAAAATGATATATATATATATATATATATATATATATATATATATATATATATATATATATATATATATATATATATATATATATATATATATATATATATATATATATATATATATATATATATATATATATATATATATATATATATATATATATATATATATATATATATATATATATATATATATATATATATATATATATATATATATATATATAACCACATATATATTAACTAGCTCTTGAATCAATGATCCAAGAACCAATATTTAAAATTTTGACCAAAGAAGAAAAAACGAATGTGTTACCTTTGTTAGCAATTGATGAATGGCCAACTTAATGGAATGAACTCACATGATTCTAAACAGGACCATTGGTTGATTGTTTTCCAACATTTAAATCCTTAAGAAGTGATACAAGAGTTTCTACTGCTCACTTGTAAAATGAGGTGTAGTTTGATGATCAACATGAGAATCACAACTTGAATCAATAGGAGCATTGTCAGTACCAAAGTTGATGGCATGTCCAAGTTATTGATACTCTTTCTAGAAGGCGAGTACAATATGCCAAAATTTATCGTGTCTAGGATACTGAATTTCTCAGCGGTATAGACTGTAGTGTCTCACTAGGCATACAAAATTTATTTTCAATTTTAAAGGCTAGAAATATGATCGCCGATAGCTTAAAAAAGTGATTTCCTTTATGCTTTAAATGATTAAACTAAGGGAGGAATTATGTCATTAATATGTGGGTTTCTTAACTCTTCAAAAAGTGTTAAGTACAATTTTGAGTTTTTGTGAGCTACTAAATTAGGAATTATATACATAAAGAGTATAGTAAAATGATTGTTCCTTTTTGGAACCAGAATTATATTGATTGATGATGTAGGAATCTAGAATCAGTGACATTAATCTTCAGTACGGTGGGGCAGGGTGGACCTGCAAAGTTAGCACTCCAACACCCAAGTCAGTTACATAGTCCAAGATGAGTATAGCGAAAAGTGGAGATCAGAAAAGTGTACCTTGATTCTCATGTGTGTTAACTATATACATTGGATAATCTTGTTTGGGTTATGTGTGGTTGGGCCCTCATACTGGGCCTTTGGGCGGCTCATAATAGTTTTCCCCAAGGCTTGTTGGGCATTTACTAGTCAGGATCTCTTTCAAAGTTGTGGACGACTTCTAGCTATCACGTCTGGTCATAGTGAGAAGTATGCGAGGTTTTTCCACCTAGGGTGCTTGAGTGCATTTGAATCACTTATGTTCCCAAGTAGCGGTTGATTGATCACCTTTAAATTTCCTCTCTACTTCTGATCTGGACTGTTGGTTTGTTGTTGATTTCATAATAAAAAGTTGGCTCTTTTTCAAACGTTTTTTTTTGCCCCGTTTACCTTTTAGAATATGCTTCCCCCTCTTGAGTTCATTATTTTTCTCGTGTGTTTTGAAAACTTTAGCCTTATGACACATCTTCATTCATGGGTCATTCTTTTTCTTGTGTCTTTTCATCTCAAGATTCATCATTATTCCCCTTCTGTGTATCATTATGGCTATCCCAAGAAATGTACCTATAAACACAACCCTTGAACTTGATAGTGATGAGTCCTCATCATCAGCTGAAGTTGAAAACCCAAAACTCGTGACCATTTTTTATAGGGTGGACTCTCATATTACTGTCCAGAATGTGTCTAGTGGTAGCTCTCGGCCAAGGTTGGATTCTTAACGTGATGAGGATAATATTTCGATGGGGAAATTATTGTCCGTTTCTCCTCCATTTCTTGTGCCTAATTTAATTTGGGTATTACTTTATATAAGGTGGCGGAGCGTGAGATTGGTTGCTTTATCTAGTCTCTTGAGAAAAATCCTTCACGTTGGTGTTCTATTGTCGTTAATCATAATTATTCATTTTATGACGTATAGATGGATATGGTTCATCCTAAGGACTTGATATAGCTGATTGATGTGGATAAATATCCATAGGTAGATCTTGTGTACCTGGGAATAATTTCTTCATATATCCATGAGGTCGTCGTAAATAAGGTTATCTTTGAGTTTGAGTCATCTTCTAATTGATTTATCTCCACTATTCCTACTAACAAAAGGATTTGTAGCAAGTTTAAAGGGTGTTCTATATATTCTCTTATACGATTGCATCTTTCAAAAGCTGGGTGTTTGGTTTTCATCTCTGACCGCTTTTGAAAATGAGGTGTTAGGGAACCTTCATACCGCCCCTCACTACTCCACGCAGTTGCCTGAGCTTTCGTAAGAGTGTTTCAATATTGGTATGAATATAAGAGACAACTGTGTTCTGCCTTGAAAAATCTCTTATTTCATCTTTTTTCACTCAACCATCCTTCAAAGAAAGGGCATGACCATGTGTTAGTTTTCATCCACCAAAATAATGATAAGGTTTTACAGGTTTATATTGAGAGTTAGAAAAAGTTCAAGTCTCATTGTTTTCTGGTGACTCCTAATTCACACAAACGACGTTGCTATTCCTAATCGGAATCAAAATTGGTATTGATTGATGATGTAGAACATTAGAATCAGTGACACTAATCTTCGGTACAGTGGCGATGAATGACTCCAAAATATATTTAGTTATTATTATTATGTGTGTTTTATGAGATGTACATGTGCAATATTTATAGACAAAACTAATCATGTTGGCCAAAACATTGTAGTTTACATAACTCAATCTCATTCAATTTTTTTTCAAGTAATGTGTATTTTTGTTGTTGTTGGGTGTACGTGACATTCTATGTTTGACATGTTTCTCCTCATATCACGACGTTTTCTACTTCCCTTTGTGCATTAATCTACCCTTACAACTCTGTCTCAAAACAAATGAAGATAGTTTTGTTGGATAGTAGCACTATAAACATAAAACACAAGTAAAATTATGAATTGTAAAATTCCAAGTGTCTTTAATTACTTCCAACACTCTCCTAACTTGAGTGAATTTTATTGGGCTTGAAAAATAATTGTTTACCTTGTATTCGATTATTTTACATTCAACTATCAACTGTTTGTCGTTCTTCGTTAACAACTTTGGGCTTTGTTATCTTTAAATGTAAACAAAATAAATTAGAGACGCAATATAGAAATATATTAAAATTAAAAACCAAAAGTATTTTATATCCAACTCTTATGGAAGTAGCCGTAATATTGATGAGATGCAATGTTGCATGATTGGAGCAAGATAAGAGATTGATTGGTCAATAAATTAAATAGTTATTATAATGTAGTGAGGTCATGAGTAGCTAGCAATCCAACATAAAGGCTTTAGTAAAAGGAAGGGAAAAAACAGATAGATCAAAGGCACTCCCATGCATTGCATTAATAAAGAAGAAAATAATGAACGCCGCGTATACATACCCTTCTAATAAGGCATTGGAAACAACTAGACAGGGTATACGTGGCATTTTTTTTCATACACCTAATATCAATCATAAAGTTTGGGGTCACACTCCAAAGAAAATGATGCCTTAATTGTAATCCCTTCATCATTTTAATAAAAAATTAATTTGGATAATGACTTCAATTTATGAATTAATTGAAAATATTGTTTAGATTTAGTTAATATAAAAAAAAAGTCGTAAATATATGATTATTTTCATAATAGGTTAGGATATTTATAAATGAATATTACGATGAATCTCTTCAATTTAATAAAATATTATGAGTTCGAATTTATCTATGTTAAATTTTTTCAAAATATTTTGTCATCCAATATAATTTTACTCGAGGCAAAAGGATCTCGTCGTTGTTGATATCGGCGAGTTTTTTTTAGTCGAGCTCTTAAACTACGTAGAAATTTTTATCATCTTTTCTAATATGTTTTTATTATCTTTTCTGTCAAGACTCCAACACTCTGTTTAATAAAATCAATTTATAATCTTATCCATCTAATTTTATCCTATATACATCCGTTTCTGTAACTAAAAAAAATCTCACTAATGCTTTTTGTTTTTGAATTTAAAAGTAATGATGCAGAGATTAATGCACAGTAGGTAGCCGTATTATAGAATACAGCAATGTATAGACTTGTGAAGATTAAAATAGAGAGACACGTATAAGCTTGGTCAAACAAAGATTACAGGGGACGGCACCGAATCTATTTGACTTGTAATCTAAACACTTTTCACTATCCTTTTTCCTATTTATACCATTAACATTTCTCTACTACGTCCCATTGAGGACCCTACAACCTTTTCATTTTCTTCTTCTTCATCTTCTAATCTCTTACTCTAGTATCTCACGTTTCTCTCTTCTACTTCAACCAAACTATAACTTGAGAAGCTAGAAGTAATTAAGCAGTTTGATATGGGAAGAACACCTTGTTGTGACAAGAATAATGGTCTCAAGAAAGGACCATGGACAACTGAGGAAGATGAAAAACTCATTGATTACATTCAGAAACATGGTTATGGCAATTGGAGAACACTCCCAAAGAATGCCGGTATGTATACACATTACTTTGATATATTAACCAGGAGCGAGGATCTGCATACAATTCTTTTGAAACACATATTCATTTGTTATTTTTCATTGAATTATAGGTTTGCAAAGATGTGGCAAAAGTTGTCGTCTTCGTTGGACAAACTATCTCCGACCAGATATAAAACGTGGTCGATTTTCATTTGAAGAAGAAGAAACAATAATTCAGCTCCATAGTGTTCTTGGAAACAAGTAAAACCTCTTTCATTTTTTATACATAATTTTTTTATACATATAGATATCAAAGATGGTTGTACTAATTATCCCGACTTTATTATAGGTGGTCTGCGATTGCATCTCGATTACCAGGAAGAACAGACAACGAAATAAAGAACTACTGGAACACACACATTAGAAAAAGGCTTTTGAGAATGGGAATCGATCCGGTAACACATAGTCCAAGACTTGATTTATTAGACCTCTCTTCAATTTTATGTTCTTCACAAATCAACAACATCCAAACACTCCTTAGCATGCAACAACAACAATCTTTGATGAACCCTGAGCTTCTAAAACTAGCTTCCTCACTCTTCACTACCTCATCGCACCACCACCACCAACAACAACAAGATTATAGCAATAACCAACCTTGTAATCCCCAAACACAAAACCAAGTTTCACTTTCACATCTTGTCCAATTTCAAGACCAAATCCAACAAGTACCTAGTACTAATTCTAATGTTTGTACTAGTGTCTCTTCTTCAATTCCTAATGATCATTCACACTTGTTTGAAACAAATGTGAATACATATCCATCAAATTTCACCGACCAAAGTTGTTACAACAATCAACATTCTGTTCCTGATATTGATTGGCTAGAAAATAATGGGTTTGGTTTAAGTACTTTTAAAGAGGATATTGATTACACCCCTCAATTATCAAACTATAATCAATATTATGGTTCTGATTATAATCAAAATCTTATGATTCATCAAACTTCAAACCAAATTCTATCGACACCGTCTTCAAGTCCAACACCCATGAATTCGAACTCGACGTGTATCATTGGGAGCAACACAGAAGATGAGAAAGAGAGCTATGACAGTTGTAACAACAGAATGAAATTTGAAATTCCATTGCATATTTTAGATTCCAATGATTTTATGTAATCAATATCATCATCAACAGTTAAATCAACCAAATAGTGTTGATTATTTCACCCTCTGTTTTTGCTGGGATGTACCTATGAATCCTTCTCTGGTGCATGATATTTGTAACATTCGGTTTATTTTATTATTGATTTATAAAGTTTAAGTTTCTTGTTTCACATTTGCCTTTATTAAAATCTTGAGATCCTTACGAAATTTTTTTAATTATCTACCTCCATTCTTAAAGTATACTAATCTCTTTGCTTGGTTTGATTTAATTTGATTTTTACAGAGTGTTATTGAAGGTGTAAGTATGTTAAATTTGATAATTGGTGTCAAACATATCTTTATTTTTAAAATAAGTTAGTAGTGGTAATTGATAATAATAGCATTTATGATGAAAAGTATATGAAGTGGTGGACAATCATTGTTGGCAATGGTTGAAGTGATTGTTATACCAGTAGTCAGTAGGGGCGTAAAAAAAAAGGTGAGACTAACATAATAGAGGGGATGTTTACTCGTTTCCCCAAAATAGAGGGATGAGATGTTTACTCGTTTTCGCAAAATATTGTCAACAAAACGAACATTTCATACGGGTAGGATCCGTTTTCCACCCCTAATAGTCAATGGTTGTCAAGTTGATAATCACAAGTGGATGAAGTGGGAATCATAATGGTTGGAATAATGGTTTGAGTGGCTCATGGCGATGATCATAGTGGTGGTTATATTGGTAGTTAATGGTGGTTAAAATGATATTCATACGTGAATAGAGTAGTGATAGGTGGTGTCGGAGTGGTGACAATTAGATCATAATTATCAGAGTGGTAAAAGTCTATGTGTACCATTTGGTGTCAGAGTAGCATGGATAATAAAGACTATTTATTGTGGTTTAAATTGACACTGCATCTTAAAATAACACCGTTGCTTTTATGGAATATATTGGTTTTGGGTATAAATTTGAAACATAATGTAATTTTGTGGGACCCATGTTAGAGTTTTAAGTAAGTAGTATGGATATTTAGAAAATATAATTAAGTGGTTTAAATATATTATATTAGATGAGACCCACTTATACCACCATGAGTAGTATGGATGTGGGTGCTCTTAGTGGTCTTCGATAGTCAAAGTAATAGTCTGAGACAACTGGTGGTGACATATGTTAGAGTTAAAATAAAAACAAGAACTATACAACCTATTTTGATGGTTTTAAAATTTAAGTATAAAGTTTTAAATTAAATAAAAAAGTGAATTCAAACGCGTTTCAAATTAAATATAAAATATATAAATACAACGTTAAACTTGTGGCTAATAGTTTTCATCAACAAGAACGATTGGACTTTTCAAAAACTTTCAAACCTGTCATTGAACCTAGTGTAAGAATTTGGAATCACAAGGTTGGTCAAAATTGAGTAATTGAGAGTGAAAATAGAGAGAGTGAGAGAGAGAATTAAAGAGATTAATTATAGATGAAAATACGCTCACAACATATTCATTTACTATACAATGATACCTAAAAGGTATATATACAAGCACAATGGATTGGGACACAAGCAACTCAAAAAATCACAGAAAAAACTAAAACTTGTCTACATGTAACTGGTTACCAAAACGCAGTAACCAATTACAACACTTGAGTTATTGATTTTTCACAAGACACCACCTTAATTCAAGTGTTCCAAGTCTTCCATGTCTATATTCTTCTTCAATCTCTTGAACACTTTAATTGTGACTCCTTTGGCAGCAAATCACCCCATTGGTCTTCACTTCTACAATATCACAATCTCAACCTTCCTTCACTAACAAGTTCTCTCAAGTAATGAAACATCATCTCAATATCATTACTCCTTCCATGTGCAATTGGATTCTTAGCGAGGTTTATAGTGGAAATGTTATCAACCATGAGCGTTACAATGTCATTCTCTTCGCTGCCCAGCTCCTTCAACAAATTCATTAACCACACAACTTGACACACACACAACAAAGCGACAATATACTCGGCTTCACAAGAAGAGAGCGCTACTACCAGTTCCTTCTTTAAACACTATGAGATTGATGTTTCAATAAACATAAAGATGTATCCAGCCGTAAAGTTTCTATCATTTTTATCTCTACACCAATTGAAATCACTAAAATCGAGGAAATTGCATTTTCTTCTCGTGTCCATTGTGGGAAAAATAATTCCACAACTAATAGATCCTTTGACGTATCTTAGAATCATTTTGATTGCTTACAAGTGAGACACACTCTCCATGAATTTACTTACAATACCAACACTAAGTGTTGAATTCGGTCGCGTATTGCACAAGTAACGCAAAGATCCAATCAGTCTCCTTGTTCACAGGTGTTTTTAGAAAACAATATGAGTTTAGTTCACTTGTGAGATTAACTTGAAAAATATCGGAAGTATTATGTGCAAAACAAATATACAAGGAAAAATGTTTGTGCATTGAATGTGAATTTTCGTACGAAGACAAAATGGACATAAACTTTAATAGCGAAAAATCTTAGATCAAGATAATAAACAAAAAGTGAAATAAATGACATTAAACAAAAAATGCAGTAAATGACAATTAAAGAAAACAGTGAAATAAAAGAACGCTATCTCATACATGTTTCTCACAAACTGTTTCGCTCTTTGACTCTGGTAATCTCGTTCTATAGAGAAATATATGAATTATGAGACCTTGATTACAATGTATGAGTCTGCTTTTTATACTATTATAAAGATAACCGTCTCCTATAGTTTGTTCCTAGAAAATGGACACGTATAAAAAATATGCAATTCAGTCTTCTAAAACACCTCTACATTGCCAGAACTTACAAATTTCTGAAAAACCATTATCCTACGTTTGTAGCTGCTCCAAGCATATAACTGCTTTTTTGTCGAAGGTAGTTTGTGAAAAAATCTAGTGTTGAGACAAACTTTTTCAAGTCTTCGGATTCCAAAATATCCTAAGTCCTTGACGTTTGTCGAACGCTTCGACTTCGACATGGTTTCGACAAATCAACTAGACCTTTTCTTGATACTCTTTCGAACTATGCTCATCATGCTAGTTGAAATGCTTCAGTCAACATGTTTGTTCCTGTCAACGATTGTCAACAAATACTAACACTTAGAATTTCCTCAACGTAGCATTCTTTGTTGATTTTTATTCAAATAGAAATTATAGGATAACACTCTTATACTGAGTTAGATTAACATCTTACTCATCCTTATTCTTCAGTAACTCCAACCTTGGTTCAACTGGAGTAATGAAAACATTACAATACTACATTTAAAACTTCTTCAAAATCTCAAGCGCATACCTTCTTTGGTTCATAAGCAGTCCCATTTTGGACTTGTGTAACTCAATACCAAGGAAGTATGTCATGAGGCCTTGGTTGGTCAATTCAAACTATTTCATAAGCCCACTCTTTAACTTAAAAAGGAATTATTTGCCGCTGCACGTAATTAACAAATCGTCTATGTATAGACAAAGGATTATCACCCCTTCACCTGTACCCTTCTTAACATGCACACCATGTTGGATACACACTTATTGAATCCAGACTCCTTTAAGAAACTATATATCATCTTGTTCCAAGCTCTTAGAGCTTTTATAAAACAATATAACGCTTTTTTCAATTTGTAGAACTTTGACTCTTGGTTTTACACAACAAAATAAGGAGGTTATTCTTCATAAGCTTCCTCTTAAAGCTGTAAGTTCAAAAATGCAGATTTAACATCCATTTGATAGATGGAACAATTATTGTTAATCGTTGCACTTCACTGCTTCTTTCAATGTGTTAGCTCACAAATTTGACGCCCACATTAAATTACGGTGTTTGGTTAAAATGTTGAATTCCCGAGGTAATGTGGAGAAGCCTTCGAGTGGGTCTTTGCAATAAATGAAATTGAAGACACTCATGTGAGAAAGGAAGACTTTTTGGGACTTTGAAAATATTTCTAAGATTAAAGAAGTCGCATTCGATCGAGAACGCTGGCCAAATACTAGTGGAATTTGAAATTCAAATAAAGGAGGTAGTAGTTGTGCTTTCTCATTCCTGAACGAGACAAGTGGCGCCCATCCAAGAGGCAACTGCATGCAGCGCGACACTTGTCAGGAGCTGATTGTCTTGAGCAGTTAAACATAATTAATTTTACTATTATAAATAAGGGTTCTAGCAATAGGATTCGGGGGTGTTGTTTTTACTATTGTACAAGTCACTCCAAATTTACTCAAAGTATCTGTGTGTAGAGAAAAGAGTCATGGGAGAATGTACGTAATGTAAAAAACCATTTTATGCTTTAATGAAATTTATTTTCACTTTGTATTAAAAGAGTTCATCCTTTATTTTCCCACAATTTACATCTTTAGCATCACGTTTTTGTCTCTTTTAACCTTTTTTCTTCAAAGTTGTTTACCTTTTATTTCAATTTAACGTTCTTACATTCCTGTCGAACCATACATTCAAATCGACCTTCCTTCATGGACACTGTCGAAGTGTTCAACCTTTAGTATTTTTTGTAGATTAAAACTTAGCACATGTCCTAGGATCAATCTGATCGATCCTGTGAGTCACCAAAGTTAGATTTGAAAGATCAGCGGTTGTTTTCCAATTTTCACGGGAAACAAATTGGCACGCCCAGTGGGACAGTGCTAAAGTTTATAAAGCTTTTTGTAAAATTTTTGCAAAATTGTAGTTGTTAGTGTTGTCTTTGAGAAAACTTTGTTGCATGTTATTAAGAAGTGGTAAAATAGCTGCTACAAATGAAGAAAGACCAATGTTAATCAGCCAAATAACCCAAACCTTCGAGGGAATGGTTCTAATCCCCAGCCTAGTAACACTAATCCTCGAGACGTGTCTAAGAATGATGTAGTTCCACCCTCAGTCCCTTCGACATGAGAGCATATACCTCCTCCTGTTATGCCTAAAGCAGTGCCATCAGTGGTAGGTTCAGGGTCAACAAATATAAGGGCCTACACTCAGCCTGTTTTGGAGTATGTCAGGCCACAAACATCCAATCCCCAAACTCCACC